CCTTTCCTCATTTCCCTTTGATAACAGATAAGAAAGCTATTACGCTAATGTAAATCGTAATTTAAAGGGGGAACAGGACATTTTTATCATCCGCGGTAAATAATTTTAGCAACGAAATGGCATATTCAAAGTTAAAAGCTCCCATGTCATCAAATTAAAAGAGATGAGAGCCCTGCAGTGGACTACACCCGACTGCGCCATACACTGCTTAGGGTATAATTATAAGTCAGTTAACAAGAACCATCTTGATTATCGACTGCATAAGGCAATCACTTTTCGATTGTAACCTGAGTAAAAATTAATTTTTAGTTTTGATTTTAAGCGAGTTCAAAATTTGGGTTACTTTGTGACGCGAGCCAACATATTTATTTATTTTTTCGGCATAGAGATAAAAGACTAGACTTGTTACAAGCTACTAGTCGATGATTCCCCAATATTTTATTTTTTTTATAGGCACATTTGCAAGCATGTGATATTTGCGCAAGCAAAATCATTTTTAATTTTTGCCAAGACAGATCGAGTAGAGTAAATATCTTTATTTTTGTTTTATTGGGTACAACATGAGTGCAATTTAACTATATTTAAAATTAAAAATGTAGCATTAAAAGCTGAACATTGCCCCAAAAATAGGAAATGTTGTTGCTGTTCAAGTTGCATGTGGCGACAAATAAGCCAACAACTATCGATGGTACTCAAAGATGCTTATTTAAATGTGCGGTGTCTGCTGTACATACACACACACGTGCACACAAAAACAAGAACAATAAGAACAACTTTTATAAATACTGTTTTTAGCTCGCCCCAATACCACGGGTGCCGTGCAACTCGGCCTGAAAGCAAACTGATGCAAGGTGACACTTGAACGCCATGGCATTCCACAGCAGGGGTGTGTGTGTGTGTGTATGTGCACACTTGTGCCTGGCTGTGTGCGTGGGCCCTAGCTGCTCTATCGTGGACAAGCAGAGAAAATCTCAACAGCAAAGTCGTTTTCCATGCAGTTTTTGCAACCTTGGCTCAAGTCGCCGCCTGCATAAGTGTTCGTGTGTCTGTGGGTGTGGTTGATTGCGTCAAGGTGTCACATGCTGCGCTGCTGTTGCATTGTCGTTTCAGTGAAATAACAGCAAAAGTAACAGAAGCTAAAAATAAATGCCATCCAGTGAAAGGCAGCAGCTGATAATAAAAAAACATTCATGCCACAGCACTATGGGGAAAATGCATACTTTCTGTGGCATAAATAAGCTATAATCTTCCTTATACTGATGGAAAAGATTAAAAAGAAAGGGGCTGCTGCCGGGTCAACAACAATTAAAACGAATCCCAACAAAAAATACGTAATACGTTTTTTTAATAAAATACGTTTTCTGAGCGTACGCTGATTTTCCATAGCATTAAAGACAGTATGAGAAATGAAAAGCCAATTTGATCGCACCCATATTCTCTTCAAGTTTGTTAGGTTACTGATAGTCTTCTATAAATAATACCTATATACTTAACTCCATTTCAATTTCAGTAAGAGATAGATTTGGTAGTTAAATATCAATTTAGACCCCCATTAGAGTCTGGTTAAGCCCCGTTGAAAAGATTCATTATTATACGAATAAGTTGACTCTGAATTTTAAATATTATAAGAACCGTAAAAAGAATAGGCCTTATGTGGGCTTATTGAGTCGTCAAAATGCTTTCATTAGCACTTAGCAAGTTGCAATAAGAAACATTCCCCATTCCGGCATGCCCGACTAGGAGACAGTGTGTACCCAGCGCCACACTGTCCTTACAAACATTAGAATATAGAGCATAAGAAGCTGTGCATGACATATTCCAAACGTGGTCTATCAGATGTCATGTAACTAAGCGCGACAGATATGCTCATGGCATGGCAATCAAAGACATCATTAGCAACCGTGTATTCTAAGAGGAGATTTCCAATGTATGTGCGTCTGAAGATCTATTAGGTTACCTTAGACCTGGCTACAGAGTATCGTCTTATCGAGGATTCATGTCTAAAGCAGAGTTTCTTTTTTAATTTTTGCTTTTCCTTCTGTAGGCGTCAAAGTTAAAAGTTATATTCAAAGGCTTGCGAGCTTTTCTGTTGCCAGGCACCTGTTACCCAGCCGTTCCCGTCCCCTTTACGAACTTCTTTCTGCTTGCTCTGTCGCTCTTGCTCCATTCTCTTGGCCTTGCTGGGTAAATGCCACTTTGTCAGGACTGGGCGTTATTTTGATAAATGATTTGTAAATGAACGTGTGAGTTTTATTGCAAATTATGAGCAAAATTAGACTCGCCTGCCAGAACCGACTCCGCCTTCATCCCTGGGCAACGTAATCGCCATTGGGTGGGTGTTTAAACAAAAGAGATTTGGCTGGTACGGATGTGGGTGCAAGTGTATTTATGGCTTATGGGAGGATAATTTGTCAAAGTGCCAGCCAAGCAAGCAGCTGCATCAGTATCAACCTCAGTGTCTGCTTTTGACTCGTATCTTCAAGCCTTAAATGGATGTCTATGTTCTGCATTTTATGGCAAATTAACAGACTATAATGTGCGTCTATAGGTGTTAGAGTATTGGTGAGCTGAAGTTATGTAAAAGGCCAGTCTGCGTGAAAGTTAAATCTTTCATAATAATTTAAGCTCAGAAGTTATGGGTTTTAATCTTCTTCGTGGCAGCTGCAAAACTTTAAAATCAATTGGCTTTACTTTTTATTGCAGTTAGCCTAAGTTAAATAACATTATACTTGACGTGATTATAATGAAACGCGCCAAGTTCTACAATCGCCTATTAAATGCATTTATTCCATATCAAATATGCCTGCATTTTAACCAAATTAATAATAATCAATTAAAAATAATCATCGAATTTATGTGATATTGTGACATTTACCAAACCCCTCGTACTGTCAGTCCGAAAATGCAACATTTTAATAAATATTTTTGGAAATGGGCAACGTGACAGGCAATTTATAAAAGCTAACAAGTACAAGCTAAGTCTATGTCATTTTAATAATTGTAATATTAAAGAAAAGCAATAGAATGACACAAATAATAATACATAAAATATCAATATAATCCATTTAAATGAACAGTTTCTTGGCTGAGCGTACAGTTTACGTCAGCATCTATGTGCCAAAAGGGACATCTTGGCTGACAACACCAACAGCAAACCACTAAATTCTGACATCTGTCAACACCAATATTGGGCCAGGAAAAAAAAAAATGAAATGTAGCCACGAAAAGCGAAAGGCGGCTAACAAAATGATGGATAGAAACCAGAAATATTTGTGGCTTATTTGTAATTTATGTTTTATTTTTGGGATGAAAAAGGAAAAACAGACAAAAAAAAAAAAAAAAACAAACAAAGAGACATCTGCATTGACTCATTGCCACTTCAATTTGCATTGGGGTTTGTCGGATAAAGCTGGCATCCTTTGTGACACACAGCATCACAGGCATGGAGACATGTCAGAAATGATGTTGGCCAGAAACAGCTGTGGGGCAGCAACAAATTTGTAACTGGCGCATGGAAAATCGTGTTACACATTTTGTAATTGGCTACTCAAGCGTGCTCACAGACGTGGTCAGAGTTTTCAGATTTCATGTTCCCAGTTGCCAGTTGATCTGCTGCCTGGCCAATACAGGCATAATCCATTCCATAGCTTGAGGCATAGCCAACTGCACAACAGCCAGGACACTAAATCCGATTTGCTCTGCCCATGTTTTTTTCAATTTATATTTCTTAACACCCATTAAAGTATATAGCAAGGGTATGTTGGAGCTGCTTGATGTACAATAATTGAGGGCCACTTTAACAGTAAACATATGTGCAGCTGCTTAAATCTAAAAGTAAAATATTGCTGAGAAAATATTTGAATAAATCAAAACAAGGCTGCTTATGAAAGAAAAAAGTGTTGCTATGATTGGCAATTCGAGTTCTGCTTGTGAACCTGGTTTTCCATATTCATTATCCAAATCCAGGTTTTATTTGAAGCCTTGACTTTTCAAATATTTTCAAAATGTTAATGTAACAATTATATGTTTAGTCTTGCATATTTTCATACATAAGAAATTATTATATCTCCACCGGAAATTGTCAACCATTTAAGTTTCAACAATGATAATATTACACACATAATGTAAAATACATAAAAAAAATCTTGCTTATCAATTTTTGACCCTTTCACGTTGTGAACTACGTAAACAATAAGTATTAGTTTGACTTCCTTCGTGTCGTGGTTATTCCCTAACAAATTCTTTACAATATAGTCCATGTATCTCCCAGGCAATATGATATTGCACAACACAATCGACACCCGTTTACATGGTCCAAGAATTAATTTTTTGTAATTTCCTCAAAAGACAGATGGACTCTTCATAGCGAGTGTTTGACCAGGACATACTCCGTATCAATTTTATACATACATAAATGTATAGCTTGTCGATGGCTCGTACTGGCTGTTACAGACGTTGGCCCATGGAATCGGCCTCCCAAAAGGCATAATTCATTGTCTCTGAAGCTTTTGCATATTCGCTCATCAAATGGCACTCAAAGTGCGGCCGTAAATCGGAGAGTGCAACAAAATCTGTTGCATAAACGTTGTTAATGCAACAAACTGAATGTGGTGAACGTAAAGTTGCAATGCGCTGGCCTCGGCTACAGCCGCAGCCACAGCCACAGCCTCGGCCCCGACTTTGTCTGTTGCACACACATTTGGGGCACATAAAAATTCAATTAGCTCAGTGGCTGCCTTTCTGGAGCTGTGCGTGGCACGTTTATGGATGGCATATTATGGCCGGAAAATGAACGGCTTGCCAACAATACATATTTGCAATTATTACGCATAATTTGGCAAAAGTCAATGGCCATTCGGCTATCAACCGGGGCTGGCTAATGTAACGACCTCAGAGGGTTTTATTGGCTCTGGGCTATAAAAAGATGAGGCCGATGGATGGTTCAGACTTAAGCAGCTGCAATTACGGAACGTAGGCAGTTAAGTGGTTAAAAGACTTACCCAATATGACGAGCGCATTACCCAGGAGTCCGGCGAAGCCAATAATGCCAAAAAATACCGGCACAATGATGGACACAATACGCTCCAATGGCCAATTGTCTCCGTCCTGTTCCAAATCCATTTCCAGCAGATTGTCTGGCCGCATCGAACTATTTAAATGGTCCAACGCGGTGCTGCCAGCCGCATAGTTGCTGCTATTGTTGCCAATTTTGTTGTTGTTATTGTTGTTACCGGTGCTATTGCTGCATTCACTGGGACTGAGCCAATCGGCACAGTCAACGGCTGCTGCCCCATGACTGCCAGTCGGCCAGAAGCTAATTAGCACTGTCAGGGCCAGCGCCATGGCTAGCCGATGGCTGCTCAGGCCCATTGCCACGCCCACTTTTATAACCGCTCACAAGTACTTCTTAATTACCTCCAAGCCCTTATCGTTGCTCTCTCTGTTATTGTTGTTGCAGCTTGGCTTTGTTTTCCATACAATTCTGATCGGACTTTCTATGTGTCCGTGTTGTTTTTACATTTTCAGCACGCCCGCACTGCCCCGCCCTTTATGTGAGCAGTGTAATTTGCATTTAAGTGGTTCCGGAATGCAAATGGCGCCCGTCAAGGAGGCGAGTTGGGCAGGTGTCTGCCTACTGACCGTGAATAATATGCCTGCAAGAGTTATTAAAAAGCATTTGTTTACCAATTTTTAATATGTGGCACACAGATACAGATATATTTAACTATTCAAATTTGTACGTATATACCATATACAATATTATAAATGTATATCAAATTCGGCCCAAACTGTGAATCGAATTTATATATTTCCTCAAAAAACTGGTCCCATTCAGGATACACTTTTCTTGTTTAACGGACGGGGCTATAATTTTATAATTTGTGTATCCTTCCGCTGCTAATTAATATGTGACCCGTGCCGTACGCATAATGCTAATGCATTGGTTGATGTGTTTTTTATTTAGGTATGTATATGTAATACAACTTGTCAAGTCCATATTGCCGTAAACCACGCCCGTCGCTAAATTGCTTGACCGCGTTTTTGCGGAATGAAATGCAATCAAATGCATTTTTCAACATTTTCATTTTAATGGCTCTCATTATGTATGCATATACTTCCAATCTAAATGTGTGTATTCTCTGGTATCATAATAATAATACATTTAACTATTAATAACTAAATTAAACTGGTCAGTTGTCTGATTGACTTATTGACTGACTGACAGATTGACGTGCCCGTTATACGCTTTCTCCCACCTGCAAACTAATTTGCACAGATCCTTGTGAATGGTTTTACCTTTTTGCGAAAATCACCAAAAAGTAGATGAAATACATTTTAATGAGTTATTTGTAATTAATTACAAATCGCGATTTTTCGAGTTTCATGAGTAACGACTCAAAGACACAAATAAATAAAAAACATCATTGACAGATTGCAGTCAATGAAATTTCGGATTAATTGAATAAGCAAATAAAGTTTTTTTATTTGTACGTAAATCACAAAGAGCCCAAAATCATGCGTGGCTAAACTGTGACTCGGTTTTTTTTTTAATAAGTGATATTCCCCAACAAGTGAGAACGAGTTTGATCGACTACAAGATTCTCTGCATGCCTCAGTCAATCAAATATTTTGGAGCAACACGTTTTGGATTTGTCATGAAACATAGCCCAATATGAGTTCCAGGATATTTTCCAGGTACTTATAGATAAATTTATGCGTAACGCACATGTGGGTGATTAAGGGAGGAACTCAAAATATGAAATACTCATAATCTGTGTATATTAATCGAGAGTGTACATAGCAAACTTTGTATATCTATCTTTTTAGCAATAAAACGATATTTTTTGAAATCATGAACTTATTCTAAGTGTGGTATATACAAATATTTATTTACAATTTCAAGTCTCTATCATTTGTATAGGAATCCAGTTCCATTTGCTGCGTATGGGGCTTTGGCTTTCCATCTTGAAAATAATTAAATAATAATTCCAGCCGCAAAAATTAATTTAAAACTTTTAATTAAATTACATAATAAATTTAAAAGTAAATGAGAATCTTGCTAGAGTTTTGTTGCCATCTGTTTTACTGTAAGCGGACGAGATGGATTTTTTAAGCTCCGAATAAATTTGGGCTCATGCTCAATTTAAGCAAACGAACCAAGTTTGTCAAAACAGCTGCGATGCCTCGCTTTTAGCTACATCTGTTATTCCCCTAAAGATATTTCTGTTATCTGGAAAGTAAATTTGGAACAAGCTTAGTACATAAAGGAGATTTGGGAAAGTTTAATTTTGGTCCAATCGGCTTAATTTATGTTCCTTCATGCAAAATATCGAATGCATGTTTAATCGACTCAGAAAATTGTTGGAGAATTAAGGCATACGATTTTCGCCTGCCAAAACCGGGTAGTAGTTAGCTTATATATACGTATATATATGAAGTAGAATGTATGTGCCATGCCATATGACAAGCATAATTTGTTGACAGTTGGCTTGAACTGTTAAATAATTTATGACCTAGCCGCTTTAAGGAGAAGAGCATGAGTCAGTGGGACTGCGACAGGCGCCGATGAGAAACGACGACAACGTCCATGCGTAATTGAGAACGACAGAATTCTGCGGAAACATTCATTGGCTGCCAGTTTCGCAATATTCTGAAAATCGATTTCTCAATAATAATACATAATTTCCTGTACATGTGTCAATAGCTCTTATATAAATGTATTATCAAGACATTTAAATAAAATGTGGATATTGTAAGAGTTTCCTGGAGGTACAAACATTTTTATACTCATTCACAAAGTGCAGAAACTGTTTTGATTATGTACGACCATGTACGACTGTTTTCATTGAGTCTCAGTAATGGAAATTTATTCCGAATCTTGGGAAGAACCGCAGTTGGATTCTTTATCTTGTAGCATGACAATATATTATAGCTTCTTTTGACTTTTCGACTTTTCTGAATTGAGCTCCAAATCAGAAAGCATCAGAATCAGCTTCTTCTAAGTACGTATTTTGTATGTAAGGCTCGTTTATTTTTTTTTTCATTTTTACGCGACAAATTTAAAAATGTACTATTTTATTTTTTCACCGCGACTGCCTTTCAAATCCAAGCTTAAAGCAGGTAAAGTCGGCAAAGGTACCCAAATATTCAATTCCTAAGATACATATCTAATTTGTGAGGATGGAACTAATGGCAAAGCAAGACAACGCAAATATCTATGAGAGAGCCACAGGGAAACGATCTGTAGTACGGCCGGCGCTTGATGTTGTGACAGACGTCAGGGCGGCTCCTAACATCGGTGCTATATATACAGACATGATCAAGGTTATCGATAGTATAACTGGTAATTGGTCAAAAAGAGAGTGGCTAAATTGCAGCACATCAGTCTGTGCTGATTGCATTTCACCGACTGATATGTATGCTAGGCAACTGTTGCTCGAAGAGCTTCATGTAAAAAGATTGTATAATATGTTTGCCTTAGAATTGATTGATGGCAAAGTCGTCGCGTTGGCTCTGGCCCATGGCAAACGATTTAAAGAAAATTCAATTTCATGGACGCTTGCCCCACAATCACTGCGCTTAAATCTTGGGCTCCCTGTCGCATAGCAATAGATCCTTTATTTGCCGGCCAATCCATAAACAGTTTTCCGATAAAGCAATTGGCCAAGAAGCTATAAATCAAAATACATAGCTTAAAAAGCTCAACGCAAATCGACTATTCAGTATTCAACATTTATTCATTCAGTAGGTCTCAATCGGTTTCGATAGCAGCCCTAAGACTGCGTTGCTAGACAACAATTATGAGGATGAAGCTGTAAACTGCTTGTTTATAATTTATTCATGGCATACATTTCAGAATTTATTTCAAATGCATTGAACATCTTTGCTTATATGATTATTGTATCCAGGGCCGGTTTTCCAAGTAACGCTCACAAAAGTATTGATATAAGGTGCTATTGGCTTTATTAATATATATATATATATGTATTTTTAAGTAGTATTAATGGTGTTCTCTGTGAAAAAGACCAGCAATTGTGTTTCCATTTATTTGTACTGGCTTTTGTTTCACAAAGCTAAAGGACTATCGTCAGCGTCTACTACTTTTATATCATTCGGGCCAGTATATCTGGGCCAGTATTCTGATCAAAATCTTCCAAGTTAATTTATGTTTACTTTGAATGCAATCAAATCGAGTCGTTCTTACAAGCTTTGCCTTTAAGTTGTCGCAATGAAAAGTAAATAGCAAAATAAACTAAAATATGTTTCTTGTCTGCAAATTAATGGTTATTTCCTTCATTCATTCTAGTGAAAAGCAATTGCAGTTTTCACTGCTTGTTTTTTTCACTTTTGTTTATTTAACTGAGTATTTTCTTTGCAACATTTTTATTTAAAGAATGGCTTGAAAAAGCAAAGCGTAACCTTGTTTTTAATTGAGGCTGCAATAAGATATTGTTTTGCCTTAGCTCAATCAAAAATCACTGGCTTTGGCATTTTAAACAATATGTTTTATGTCCCAAATCACAATTTGTGAGAAACAGGACAGCTACCAAATTCTATGGAAGGAAAGCTATTCGAAATCCATTTTGACTCAATCGGAATCACAACTATCACAATGGAAACGATTTGAAATGTATCAAATTTTCTTTTTCTTAATTGAAATCGAAATTTTGAGCTTGAAACATTATGAAACTGGCCTTGTCCACAACACAACACAAAACAACACAACACAACATAACAAATATAGCAAGTAAGGTATGTGGTGTAGGTATAAAAACTACATAGTATTTGTTCCTGCTGATTTGGTATCGAACTTTTGATGCTCTGCTCAAAATGTGCGAAAGCGATGTCCTTCATTTTGGACAGACTTTATCTGTGTTAGTACTTTTTACAGGGCATTGTGCAGTTGATTGCACCCAGCCGTACCGTTCTTACACTTTTTGCATTGGCTGTAACATCAATAAGCATTCCCAAACTGTATGAGTAATTTCGAGAAATGAAGTTCCTGGAATTGAGTTGGCTAGAGCAGGTCAATCACTGCTGGGCATTGACGGGGGCCAAAGCCTAACCACTCAACCAGCATTGGACATTAGCAGTTCGGCTGCCCAAGCGCCCACTCATGCAAACAGACGGGTAAATTACGCATATGCAGCGTATACTGTGGGCAACTGGGCTTTTCTATTCTAAGCCATGTTAAGCGGCTCTTTAATTACTTCGACTGACGGGCTGCAGAAACAACAACAAAACAACAACAGCATCAACTGTAATAACACAATTGGTGCAGCTGCAGCATTGGGTGTGGACGCATAAGCCTCAAAAAAGGCCTGTGTATATGGGGGTCCGGCTGCCCATGGACGGGAGTCAATCACGTG